ACTTCTTAAAAAGTTTTAAGCCTGGGCAACACAAGGAGATCGTTTCTATGAAAAATAAAAATTAGTCAGGTATAGTGGTATACACCTGTAGTCCCAGCTACTTGCGAAGATGAGACTGGAGGATCACTTGGGCCTGGGAGGTTGAGGCTACAGTAAACTGTGATTGTGCCACTGTACTCCAGTCTGGGCACTAGTGAAATCCTGTCTAAAAAACAAAAAAACTTAACTGGAAAGCACAGTGGTCCTTGAGGACATTTAATGTCAGGACAAAGAGCCTATGACATATATCACTGATGTATATAAACCCTAAGTCATTAATAAAATAAAAGCTAACTGTTTAGTGTTATCCATTTAAGGAAACAGGAGGAATTGTATAACTTTTAGATTAGTCATAGTGGTGCTCCTAAAGGATACGCTGTTGTATATTTGCATAGCCAGGGCACTTAGCCTTCCAAACTAATTCATATACCATGTTCTTCAACTGTGGGTGAGGTTTTAGACTTAAGATTTGATTTACTATATGTAAATACATTACTTGATTTATATAAAGAATTCATCTTTAGTGGAAGAGGTTATTCTGAATTATTTATCAATATGATTAATACCAGTTAGAAATTATTAATGATCTTCCTTTATACTATAAATAGGATAACCTTTTAACTTGTCTCTATAGTTGTTGCTCTGAGGATCTTAATTTTACTTTCTAGGCTACATGAAGCTATCTTTTTTAAAAGTGTACTTTTCATTTTCACTGTTATTGTACACTTAGTATAAAAAACTCAAATCTAGGCCAGGTGCAATGGCTCATGCCTGTAATCCCAGCACTTTGGGAGTCTGAAGTATGCAGATCACTTGAGCCTAGGAATTCAAGACCAGCCTGGGCAACATGGCAAAATCCCATCTCTACAAAAAATACAAAAATTAGCTGGGTATGATGGCACGTGCCTGTAGTCCCTGCTACGTGGAAGGCTGAGGTGGGAAGATTCCTTGAGCCTGGGAGGTGGAGGCTGCAGTGAGCCAAGATCACATGCACTCCAGCCTGGGAGAGTGAGACCCTGTCTTAAAAAAACAAAACAAAAACTCAATTCTAAAAGGCAGTAATGCTATTTTCTACTCCCTAGTGGCAACCACTTTAAACTCTGATTCTCACATTACTTACTTTCAATACCATAAATAATTGCTTTTTTTTTCTATGTTTGGTATTACAATTTTAGGCATCATGTGTAGAATCTGTGGTAAGGAAACTGTAGAATTAGCTTTTTCACCATCCCATTACTTCTTTTTTTTTTTTTTTTTTTTTTTTTTGAGACGGGGTTTTGCTTTTTTTGCCCAGGCTGGAGTGCAGTGGCCGGATCTCAGCTCACTGC